CAATGGGGTCAACCAGCACCATCAACCATGCCTCCCAGCGGAAGGCCCTAAAAAGCGGGAACCTGGAGACCACCGCCCTCAATTTTCCCCTGCCCCTCTGCCTTCTGCGCTGCTGTGCTGCGGTCGGGCTCCCTCCCTCCCTCCTGGTCAACACATGTCCGTGTTCAGTGACTGCAAAACCTGAAACTTCTATCCTTCATAAAAACTCACTTGGATCAGAGACCAGGCTTCGGCGTGAATTTCTTTCTCGTGCGAAGGCAAGCATCGAGGTATCTCCCGCCGGAGGAATCTAACAAGTCCTCCGACATCCTTAAATGTGGAGCTGGGCGTGCGGAAGCTAGGTCCTTCAGCCCAGGGCACCTAGTGCTCGCCCACTAGGAACCGTGCGGCAGGGCTCCCACCACATGGTCCTGGGAAGATGGGTGCAACCCGGGAGACGGTGGAGACCAGGCTCGGCCTGGTGTTGTGGTGGTGCGTTGGGCTGCTAGCCGCAAGGTCAGGAGTTTGAAACCACCAGCTGCTCGGCTATCGGAAGCCCGCTGGGGTGGTTCTGCCCTGTTCTATAACGACTCGGTGGCAGTGAGTTTAGTTCTGGAGGATTGGTGTCGGGCAGGAGTGGGCCACACGCTCACGGAGGGAGGCAAGGACTGTTGAGGGTGGGCTTCTTTTCCAGCCTCGGGCCCTCCCTGCGGTCAGGGTCCCGGTGACCCTGCCCCTGCTGCTGGTGGTCCCACCATGAAAACCCTAGATGCCTTTCTGCTCCAGAAAATGCATGCTGTCATGTTGTGGTTCAGGGAAAGGCCCCTGGCGGCCCCCGAGTCCAGGCTGGCTGGCTCTGCTGTCGCTCTCTAGGAAAGCAGCCCATCCGGGCTTCCACGCCTGCCCCCAGCTTTCTAAAGAGCTTTGCCGAACGGGAAGCTGCTTCAGTAGCTCCAGGAGAATGGCTTGGCCCATGGCAGCGCCCAGTCTCTCTCTCCCTGGGAGTGTGGTGAGCTCCAGGAGGTATCAGACACCCAGATCTGGGAGCCACTGGCTCCTGCTGGCCGCGTGGCCAGGTTAAGAGGGTGCAGCCAGAGATCCCCTCTCGTTCTGCACGGTCCTACCTTCATCGGGCCTGCTCTGGGCTTTCTGTGGGAACCTCTAGCCCCTTTAAAGGGAAAAGCAATGCAAGATGCTCTGAGATTCTCATCACTTGTCCCCTGCCCAGTCATCATCGGGTTCAAATCCACGCCAGATACCATGCTGGCTGCACGCATCAGGAACCAGGCCCCGGCCCACCCCCCCGCCGTGGGGAGTGGAACAGGAACTGTGACATACGGTGGGTGTGTTGGGGGGTAATGGACAGGGTGCCCTGAGGGACAGGGGTTGGAGGGCTGAGGGCAACTTCCTGGAGGAAAGATTGTCTAAGCTGAGCTCTCGGGCCCAAGGGCCCCTGGGATGAGCCTTCCTGGCCAGGAGAACTGCTTAAAGGAATGAAAGCCTTGGGCCTGGAAAGGACTGGACCCTTTGGCTTGTTGGGGGCTGCACAGGCTAGCGTGATTGATGTGCTGAAGTGCAAACTTGTTCCTGCCTCACTGGTTACCCTGCCTTTGTTTGCTGTGGGAAGCTGTGCCGTGAGAGCCCTTTGGAGTAAAGGGGAGACTGTTTCCAAGTAAGCGGTTTACCGTGTGAGTCTGACGCCCATATTCTCTGCCCTCCCGCCCTCCCCCACATGCTAAGCACACATTATGTGCCGAGTGCAGTATCAGACGTGAAGGGCAGTCAGGAGTGAGATGGGCGGAGGACGATGCGATCTTCTTTGGGGGTTTTCGCTTGTGGGATTCAATCTACCCTGCGGGCCCGTGCACTAAGTATCATTATTCTAGTTTGACAGCTGAGAGGATTGGAACTCAGAGAAAGACCTCTTTCCTTATCGGCAAGCGGTAGAATCTAGATTCAGACTCAGATCTGTCCCCACTTCAGAGTGCGTGCTTCAGTCTGGTGGTCCGTCCGTCTACTGGGGAGACCTGTGCACAAAGCTGTTAACAGGGACCAGGGCTGTGATGGAGGCACATTCCCAATGTAAGGTAGTCGAGAGGCGCCAGAGACCAAATCAGTTGAATTAGAAAAACAGGCGTTATTAGGGAGAAAACCCCAGCCTGGGTGAAGTCCCACAGTCCACAACGTCCGGGCGGGGGGAGTCGCGCTGCAGGCTACAGGGCTGCTGCTTATATGGACAGGTATGTCTGGGTTTCTGGAATGTAAGGTGTCTTCCTGGATCCGGGTGTATTCGTGCCGGGTGCAGAGTGGAGGGTTGAGAGCAAGGCGGGCACTGAGCCAAATGGGCCATGCCGGTGCCGGGTGCAGAACGGCGGGGCGAGAACAAAGCTGGCCATTAGCCAACTCTGGTCAGCTCCCCAGGTGTGTGTGGGAGATTCAAGACCACTTGCTGCTAGTTGTTTCAGCCAGCTCTGGTCAGCTCCGCATGGGTGGGGAAGACTCAAGGTCACTTGCTGCTAGAAGCCAGCCTGGTATTGATCCGGCCATATACCCAACACCTGGAAATAGGAAGGAGAGGGGTATTTGGACTCATCCATGGTCTTGAAAGGACGGTGGACACCAAAAAAACAACAGATCCGTCTTGGAAGAAGTACAGCCAGAATGTTCCTTAGAGGCAAGGATGATGAGACTTCTCGTGTACTTTGGCCGTGTTGTCAGGAGAGACCAGTTCCTGGAGAAGGACATCATGTTGGTAAAGTGGAAGGGCAGCAAAGATGAGGAAGGCCCTGGACAAGATGGACGGACACGGTGGCTGAAGCAACGGGCTCAGAGAAAAGAATGATTGTGAGAGTGGCACAGGACTAGGCACTGTTCCTTTGGCCGGGCAGTCGATATGGGCTGGATGCCACCTAGTCTTGCTCAGATGAAGGGCCCTGTGGAAGGAGGCCACCTTGTGGGAGCAAACAGCTTGATCCAAGGCCCAGGGCTAGGGAAGTACAGGAAGGATTTGAGGAATAGCAAGTAGGTGCATGTATGCCTGGAAGGGAGGGTGGATGGGGTGGAGTGGAAGGCAGATGAGACTGGAAAGGAAAATTAAAACAATGAAAACCTACAGTTCACTGTTACAAGTTGATTCTGACTCATAGCAACCCTATAGGACAGGGTGGAACATATGGGTTTCTGATACTGTAACTCTGTACTGGAGGAGAAAGCCTTGTCTTTCTCTCATGGGCTGTCTGGTGGTTTTGAACTGCTGACCTTGAGGCTAGCAACTCAATGTGTAATCCACTAGGCCACCAGGGATCCTGAAAAGGAAATCAGGGTCCGGACTTTGAAATTTGCTTCTGGTCACACCTGCAAGGCTGGATTAGAATGGGTAAGCCTGAATGAGAGACGGGGTGGGGTGGGGGGGTGGGGGCTGCTTCTTAGGCTTGTGTGATACAAGCAACATCAAGTTGTGAGCTTGTTTGCAGGGACTGAAGCTCCAGAACAGGACAGCAAAGACACTTGTGTGGCAATGCCAAGTTGCAAACCTCAACAGAGAGTGTGCTCCACTAGCAATGTCTGCTTGACATTATGAGCCTCGGCAGAGAGCATGTCCACAGCAATGTCTGCTCTGGGTACCTGTCGGGCAGAAAAGACCACTGGTTGGCCTCCCTGACAGTGCTTCCATCAAACAACCCAAACTGCACATTCAGTGAATTGTTTTGGTTCGGACCCAGCGCTCCTTTTCTAGCAGTTGTCCCTACTCGCTCCTGAGCCCCAGCCCCCTGATGATCATAGAACTCACCGAGCGCAGAACCAGTCCCCTGGAGAAGGCGCACTCTGGGTCTGACACTGTCGGCAAGTTTCTGAACTCATTTCCGAGGGAACGTTCAGAAAGGCTGTTATGGAAGCTGTGTTTTTGATGGCTTCTTAAGTCTTAGGTCTGTCTTTACATCGGTCAGGCCACAGGGGTTCTCTTACCTGGGACCTACAGATAAGAGTGCAGGGGTCTGTGAAGTTGGGTGGTAGGAGCGGTGGTGGTGGGGGATTACGTCTTTGTTTTCCTTAGTCAAAGCTGGCATGTAGCCTTCGGTTCAAGTTTGAAAGGAGGCCTTGTGGCACAGTGGGTGAAGCAAGGCCCGCCACTCAAGCTGACCGGCTCTTTCATGTGAGCAAGTGGAGACTGTCTGCCCCTGTAAAGATTCACTGTCCAAAAATAAAATGAAATAAAATAATAGAAACACTGTCTTGGAAGCCCTGTGGAGCTGCTCAACTCTGTCTGCTAAGAGCTGCTGTGAATTGGGAAGGATTTGATGGCAGTGGGCTTATGTCTAGTTTTGAATGTAAGCAATGAAGTATGGTCATCTTAGCAAGTGACTTGTTCGCTAGGAGGACTCACAGCTACCCTATGATGGTTGTGGACATTGGGACAAATAATCAGGACAGCTGTCATGACTTTGAAATCATCAATGTCATCCAACCCAGTGCTATTTGACTTCAATAACCACCTTTGTATTGCTCTATCACAATTTTAAATAATATTTTGAAAAATGTATTTAAATCTAACTAACCCAAGGTCACAGAGCCCCTGGCCCCCAACCCGGGCGGTCTGAGTCTCAGTGGGCGGCATCCCTGGTGGCAGGTTGCCCACCCGACCAAACTCCCAGGCCCTTGAGGTTGGCCAAGCCTTCCACCCCCTCAAAGCCGGAAGCCCTTCTGTGTTTAACCTGGTGTCTGCTGCGAGGAGCCGTCTTGCCTGTGTATTCTCTGCTGGTCATGGTTGTGAGGGAGGGTAGTGTCAGCCAGCCTTGGCATGGGGAAGGGGGCCTGGGTGAGTTGATGCCAACTCACAGTGACCCTGCAGGCTCTCTCCAGACCAATCCCCAACCCATGGCTTTCCCAGATCCTGCTTCACACTGAATGGCAGGTCCTACCTCCCCTGTCATTGAACTTGGCTCTGGCAGAGCATCGGGGTAGCCGGCTCAGGGCTGCCAAGCGTTTAGGCCTTGACTAAACCCGCATTGTCCTCCCTGCAGGCGAAGCTGGTCCGCTACACCTGCAAGCAGCGGCAGTGCAAGCTGGGCGTGCCCCCTGGCAAGAGGAGCCCGGAGCTCAACAGCTACCCCCGCTTCTGCGACTGGCTGTACATCTTCAATGTGAGCCCGCAGGTGGTGCAGGTAAGTAAGGAGGCCGGGGCTCAGGCCAGGGTGTGGGGCAGGATGGCTCAGTGAATGGAAGCCAAGGGCCACAATAAAATCCCAGCACTAACTTCCTTGTGGCTCAGATGGAGGGCCCCCCCTCCCATCCCACCCCTGCCATGGATGCAAGTTCCGGGAGGCAGAACCCCCGGGGCTGCTTGGTTTACCACAGCTTCCCTGCCGAGCATTGGGCCTGCCTGGCAGGGCGGCTGTTTCATTGAGATAGGTAGGTAGGCAACCTACAGACCCAAACACATACGGACACCCACACCCTGAACCCCTTGCTGTGGAGTTGATTCCAATACAGCGACCCTACAGGACACAGCAGAACTACACTACCCAGGAGCACCACACTCAAAGTCCTGGGGGTGGGTGGGTTGGGGGTTGGGTCTGTACTAGTCTATTTCTCTACTCAGACAATGGTCAGACGCTGACCTGAAACCTCCCTCCACCCCCTCCCCCTCGGCCCTGACGGTTTCCCCTGGAATTATTTCTAGAATACCATCAAAGATAGGTACAAATGTCAGAAGAGCCTGAAGTCCCAATAGCATAAACACACTTGCCTTTTCAACGTCGATCTCCAGGATCCGATTCAGAGTGTCCTCTAAACCCTTCTCCAGACGTCTTTCGATTCTGGAACCGTTTGAGGGGGACAGAGCAGGTGCAGAGTCGCAAGTCCAGAGAGTTCCCCCAAACACCTTCCACCCAGGACCCCCACCTCATAGCACCTTACAGTGTGACAGGCGTTTGTCCAAACCAAGACATTGGCATTAGCACTTGACCTTCCACTAAGCTCCAGACTCGATTTGGGGCCCACTGGTTTTCTCTTTGTCCTCAGCGCCCTCCTGCTGCTCAAGGGTCCAGCCCAGGTACCCCAGTGAGTTCCCACATTAGCGCCCCCGCCCCCCCCTGTGCCCCTGCACCTCTTCCCTTGTTCTTCACGAGCATCCGCTCCTTGGGAGAGCGACGAGGCGTCTGCCCCTGTCAGGATGGACGGTCTCAGAAACCCTGGAGAGTGCCACCCTGAGTCGGAAGTCACCGACGGCAGTGGGCTGGGGTGGTTTTTGGATGCCCTCGAGGTTAGGTGTCTGGTAGAACGTGGCCCCTTTGGTTTGTCCGTGGCACTTCGTGAGTGTCGTGTTTGCCAGAGCTGTCCGTGGTGAAGTTTCGGCGGTTCCTTCTCCCGGCTGGATTCTGTCGCCCCATTTGCGCCCACATGCGCGCGGCACGTGGACTCGCCAGTCAGTCCAATTGTGCAACCCGCAGCTTCCCGATCGTGACTACCTTCCCTTCCGTGTCAAACACTGCTACCCCACACATCTGTGCGTTCTGTGGGAGAGACGCTTGCGAGTGAAATTGCTAGGTTGAGGTTTGCCCACTGCTGCTAAATTGCCCTTAAAAATGCAACGGGACAATCCAAGCGGGTTTTGCTCAACGTCTAAAAGCAGCTGGAGCAGGAAGAGAGACTCATTCCAGATGTTTCTTAGAGCAGAGGGTACACGGCAGAGAGAGCTTTTCTGAAGCAGGACTTGATTAGCTGGGAGTGAAAATCTCCCAAGGGTCATCCCGGAGAGACACAGGAGGGACTGAGGCCCCTGGTGGTGGCGGATTGTCGTTGTGGAGGGGGACCCTCGACACGCCTGTCCTCTGCCCACTGAGGAAGTCTCCCGGGGTTCCCAGACTTTACGGGGTAGCATGTCCTCTGCTGTGTCCCCACAGACAGGCCCAGCCCCCAGACTAGAAGCCAAGTAACCGTTTCCTCCTGACCCTCCCCAGTACTCCAGCAACACCTGGTGCGTGGGAAACAAGCCTGCCAAGGGCCAACAGGACAGCTTGGCTCCCACCGACGGGGAGAATGTCAAGGGCCTGCCAAGCCCCTCAAGGAACAGCTCCAATTCCAGAGCCAAGGCCTCTGGAAGCTTCAGCAAGAAGCTTGAACCCGCCAGGGTCTGCGGTCTTGAGGATCCTGTGGAGTCGCCGTTCTGGCTGGGGAGGATCCTTCCAGAGCCGGCCCCGCTCTTCCTGCCCCTGAAGTTTACCCTGCAGAGTCACCTGTGAGGGGGCTCTGACTCTGGGGCTCAGCATCTGAAAAAGTTCTTTTCTCTTCTCTCTCGCTCTCTCTCTCTGTGTACATTATGATTTGGGCCAAAAAGCACCACCAGAGCCCAGAGGGAATCATGGTAGCTAGGGGATCCTGGGAAGTCCTGGTGACTGCCCTTCTGTGTCCAGGCAAGAATTACACATGCGTACTCCCCTGGCTGGAGTCTGGAGCACAGCCAATGGGGTGGGCACCGCACGTGTGCCACAGGCACCGCTATCTCCGAGAGCTGCTGCCCTTGACTGACTTCTCAGGGCTTCATGACTAGTTCCAACTCACCCTTTGGGTGTAAAATCCCCCTCCTCCTTCCCAATATTGCCTTCCTGGTGGGAGTCCCTCTAGGGGAATCTAAGTATTAGTTCAGCTCAGGTCTGTAGATTGGGTGGTGTTTACGGTCAGAAAGTCACAAGGACACAGTGCCTTCCGCCGGGTGAAGCCATACATCTATTCACATTAAAACGTGTATGCAGGGGGTTCTGGGCAGGGCCCCATGCTGGGAGCTGAGATGCTAAGGACACAATGCCCAACTCCAGGATATAGAGTTGAGCACTTGGTTCCCCGGGTGGAAGCCGACCTAAGGTCTGCCGGGCCCGCAGGCCATCAGTCGCACCAGCACCAGTGCCAGGTGAAGCTTCCAGGGCTGAGTGTTCTCTCGGCAGGAAGCGGAGAGGCACACCCGAGGGATGAGCTCATGCAAAGGCCCTGAGGTCCAAGGGAGCCAGTGATGCGCCCTCATCCCTCACTCATTCTCAGTGCCACCGAGTCCATGCCACTCACAGAAACCCCACACGACGGGGTAGAGCTGCCTCGAGTTTCCAGACTGTAACTGCTACGGGAGTAGCAGCGATGCCAGTCTTCCTCTCTGGAAGCCAAGGGTGCTTTCGAACTGCAGACCCTGTGATCGCAGTCCAACTGTCACCACTATGCCTCCAGGCCCCGTGTAACCTCACAGGACAGGGCTTGCTGTTTTTAAAGGCATAGGCTGTGTGCAGAGCAGGGAGAATGGTGTCGAAGCAAAGAACATTCGTGGGAATCTTCATGGTTCTGTGTAAGCATGGAAGTTTAATCTGGAGGACAATGTGTAGTTAACCTGCGTGTGTGTGTGTGTGTGTGTGTGTGTGTGTGTGTGTGTGTGTGTGGCTGTGAGCAAATTTGCTTTTAAGGAAGATAAAATGGTGGCCAGTGAGAAGTCTACAATCATCTGGGGCCAGGCTGTGACGGTGACCTTGGCCAGCATCTGAACCAGGGTGCCGGAGCTGCAGCGGGGGCTGGGGCATGAGAAAGGGTTAGGACCCCAGCATGGAGCGTGAGGCCCCACTTCACACCCTCCCCCGCTTGAGCCAGACACTATGGTGATTTCCAGTCACCTCAGGATCCACAGGTTTTGTTTTTTTGTCTTTTAAAAATCTTGCAGCTTCATTTTCTGGCTGCAGATGAGGAAATGATTTCAGAGCCTGTTGGCATGTGCCCCCCCCTTCCCCTCCCCCCCCCTTTCCCTGTT